CAATTGGAGTCAAAGCGAACGGCGAAGAAGAAAGTGTTTTGGAATTTTGGCGACGGATGGAGCAAGAAAAAAATATCAGGTACTACCAAGAGCAGCAAAATTATTTTTCGCAGTTCCTACATCGTCTGCTCATATTGAGAGAGATTTTAGCGTCGCTGGTAGTATGGTGACCCCACAACGCACGCGGATCACCATAACAGCAAATTCATATACACTTACTTTGAGTTCAATAATTGCCGCCCTTGCCTCAGCACGCATCTGCACCTCACGCTGCACCTCCTCGATCACTGCGCTGAGAGCGCATCCCGCAGAGAGTTTACGTTTTGCCACGGATGTCGACTGCCTTTGCTTTTGGAGGGCTGCCTTTGCGTGTCGGTCGCTGTCCTCGGGTGCGGCTTCTTTTAGTTTTGGCTTCGAAGATTTTGTAGGAAACATTTCTGCTTTCGCTTCAGCAAACATACTCTTCAACATGCTGCGCAACCATGAACGCTCAGGTCGAGTTTCGTCATCTTCTCGAGCTGGCACACCGTCAGCACGCGCTGTGACAAGCTTCGGCGACAGGCGGTACGTGTCTATATGCTGCTCACATGCTGCACACTTCTTTTCGCTGTCGGCTTCAGCCTGCTTCTCCACCTGACTCAGTCTTGACTGAAGTCCTCCAGCTCCGTCGTGATCTCAGCGTGCCAGATACCACGGCGGACGTGCTGTTGCGCAACTTCTGCTGTCACCTCATCGATTTTCTTTTGCACAACTGCGAGGACGCGTTCCTCAAGTCGCGCCGCCGCACCGGACATTTCGTTGCACATCGCTACCTCAGTAGCTTGACGCTCCTCATTACATCGTCGAGCAGTGTCTTCAGCGACCGCTTGCTTTAATGCATCGCTCTCTGTTTGAACTGCATGCTGCATCCGAATTCCCAACCGTGCCTCCACAGCGCTCACGGCGTCATTAATGGCACACAGCTTTGCATCGGACGGCCTTTCCGAGCTGTTGACACGCTGCTCAACAGCGGCTACACGTTCGTCAACAATTGCCCGTGCGATGTTGCCAAGCGTCTCCCGGTTTCACTCTTGATCTGACGATCCTGAACTGCCAGAGCGGCGATTTGCGTGACCAACGTGACACGAGGCGACTTGAAATTTTGGAGAGTTTCCGCGCAGCTGGCCCCGGCGCCGATCCAGGGAGAGCGACAGTGTGGGAAAGAAGGGTCGATTCAGGATGGTGTACCTGTGGAACGCCCGAGCATGATGGAGGAGATGTGGAGTATCGATACCTGGTTGCGTTTGACCTCAACTGGCCGGAGGTGCGCAGCACCCAGTCCGGCCCCGACCTAGTCTGACGAAGGGAGACCGTAAACGTATCCCGGAGAGCTACCCTTCTTGACAAGGCCAAGGCATCCCAAGGTACTTCGAATCCCCGGCAGCTCGAGTGTGAAGCTACTCAAGTGTACCAAGCCATCGACACCCTGAACTGTACCACCACCGTGTTGAAGACGAACATCCAGGATACTGCGACTACGAAGACCCCGAGTGTGACCCGACAATGAGTTGAGGACTTCAAGCAGCGAGACCAAGTGGACACTGAAGCTCGTGGAGTCGACGGCAGCCTGGATGGACAACCGACAGCTCGAATGGAATGCAACTACCCCGAATGGCGGATGGCCATCCTGAATGGACAACGCCCGGAGTGCCCAAGTGCCGATCATCCTGAATGGACCAACACTGCCCTGAATGGAGAAGCCCCAAGCCACCGTTGTTATCTGCCAATGGACCGACGCCCAGGAACGTGCCAAGTCAGCGAAGTCAGCGACCAAGGTGCCAGTTCCGAGCGTGACTTGGTTTCACTATGGAGAGTGAGCCAGTCTGAGTTCGATGTGTCAGCAGTGCAGCAGATCCCTAGGTCAGGCACCTGAGTCCCTCCGACATCAAGTGATCGCGACGCGACGCCCAAGAAAACCCGAACAAGTGTATGAAGATATGAGCAGAGGAGACCGCGTGAAGAATCCAGCGGCCCTCAAGGTAACAAGACCATACGAAGAAGAAGAGAGAGATACAAAAGAGAAGAGAGATAGCCAAAGAGAGAGAGAAGAGGATAAAGATCAACAGAGTTTGTTTTGCGTTCAAGTGCACAAGTGCCTGGTTCGCAATTCGCCTAAGGACAGCCGCCGCCCACGGGAGAGTGTACCGCCTAGGAGCCCACGAGAGGGTGTACCATTCGGAGCCCCGCTGCGAGCGTTGAGTAACGCCTGGTCCAAGGCCCCCGAAAACTTCTCACTACATCATCAAGCCAAGTCCGGTACCCAAACGTATTGCCCAATCGGGTTGGTACACCTGTTTCATTTCCCAGTTGTGGCGTACACTCTCAGTGTGCGCTTGTATTTCATATTCCCTGTGTTTTAGGAGGTTGTGGCAATCGCCCCCTAGGACCCGATTGTAGATTGCGTGTGGTAGGAAGGTACCTGTATTGTTCTCCTGACATTCAGGAGTGGTGCGCGTGGGGCATCACGAATTTACCTGTATTCGGGGTGCAACCTAAATTGACAGGCTGCATATTGTGTGTACAGACTCTGTATTGATATTGGTTATTTTAGAGAAGGTCTTTGCTCGTGATCTCACTCCCATTCAGGACTCCCGGAACGAGTAGCGCCCGGAAGTTCTCTGTATTCCTGTATCTTTGATCAACTGCGATTCTCAAGGTTGAAACTCGGTCCGCCGAAGATAAACGACACCTATAGGGATTGCACAAGGTCACACGTCAACCGGAGCTTATATTCATTGTAAGTTTCGGGTTTCCGTGAGCTAAACCCTCCCGGGTCCAAGCCTACCGGACGTACGCTATGCACCCTGGACGATAAAGGCGTTCACCCGCCTCGCCTTAAACGTCTCCAAAGCCTTATCAATTGCACCCTGCCGCTCTGTTTCAACCCGTTTCATTTCGTCGACCTCGCCATGTATCCTGCGCATTTCTGCCTGGGTCTGGACGCTCAAAATCTCCAAACGACTGGTAAGGGCTGCCTCCGTGCGCGCATCGTGCTCGTTTTGCATCTTAGCGAGTGTATTCGGATGCGTCTCCAGCATAGATCGCGTGTCTTGCAGATCCTGCTGGAACTGAAGGGTCGTCGCGTGTTGGCGTTCTGCTAGCAGCTGCACTCCTTGCTGCGTTGACGCCTGTGCAGCTAATAAAGCCTCGCCTTGCGCCTGATCTTCTTATAGGGCCGCATACTCCGTTGCTAATGCCTCTGTGCGCACCCAAAACTGGTTAACAACGCTCTCCGACTATCCATCAATGACCAGTAGCTGTTGCGCGCGTTCACCATCGTCAAACCCACCCATCCTTCTCGTAGCAACAACTATTTCTTAATTAGTTGTGTCATCGCTCCGATATTCAGCAGCTGCGGCAGCCCTAGCTTGTAAACGGGTCATGGCCATTTTCGCTCCCCAACTCGTACGCCAATCCCGCAACCCAAGTCGCTTACCAATACGTCTGTACGCGGCACGCGGCGGTGGGGGCCTCCTCCTACTGCAGGTAGCACTCGGGTCTCTTGGCGACGTCTGCGGGCGGCACGCGGCGGTGGGGGCCTCCTCCTACTGCAGGTAAGCTTAGCCGATATTTATTATTATGTTCCGTACATTTTTGCTGTTTTTAGCTAATGAATTCTTGTTTTTTTCGAGCGGGCTCGTTGTGCTCCCCTGTAAAATCGGATCATGGAAGAGCGCCCAAATCCCAACGAGCGCGCTCGCAGGCTTTTTGCTGCTCGCGCTCGTTCCCGCGAGCAGTGCACCTGCTCAGCTCGTGGGATGCTTGAAATACCCGGTCCGAGTATTCAGATATCTTGGTTACCATGTGCTCGTTGTTCTGATACTTGTTAGTACTGCGACGGTTCAAACGTACCAAATTCTGGTAGCTTGAGCATTTGCTCCATAGTTAGCTATCATTATGCTTGAGTACACAAAGAATGTGACGCTGCGTCAATGGTTTGCCGGATCAACCTGATATTCATAATGACGCTAACAAAATGGCCACAAGCTAGCTAACGATTGGCCAAAAATACTTGATATACGTAATCATTTCGTACTTAATGAGATCTTAATATATCATACTAGGGCTCCGCGTAGGCTGGGATAGGAGAATTTTGGTATAAACCCCTTCTTTTATTTTTTATTATATTTTCTTATTAGCTACGGTCATCTCCTGCGCCTGCTTCGCAGCCGCAGCATCTGCCCGGAAATTTGACAGTTCAAACTGTCTACCGGCAATGCTGTACAAAATTATGAATGCGAATCTTGGTTGAGATCTGTTTGGAGCTTGTAGAAAATACAAACGTTTTAGTATTTACTTCATTTCGTTCATAGGTACCCAGCTCAATATATATACTGATTCATACCAGTGTTGTCGGTAGCGCACCGGTTCGATCTGCCCACGCATATAAACCTTTTGGAGGGCCCAGTGCACCACCGGAGTCGTACCGGTTTCAAGAAAATATACCAGTAGATGTCAGGAGGGTTCATCGTTTGACTTGATGTACCACGGATATAATCCTATTTGGTCTGCGATAGCAGCACTAACGTTGCTTCCTATCCCAGTATAATATATTAATATTAATATAAATTTTCCTGAGGTATCAAAATATCATATAGTAGTAATATTTTACATATCAAAACCGAAGGTGCTCGATATTATATTAATATCAATATTACCCATTTTTGAGTTATTAGCCTGTAGAAGAGAGAATACTGTACATGTACAGTGCTGCACCGCGTATTCAGCATGGATACATCAACGGGTTCTAGGGAGGAATCATGTATCATAGGTGATTGGCAAATGAATCGTGGTCGAGATATAGTCAAATCTCAATCGCATATATTGGGGTATAGAATTAGAAAACGCGGTGCAGCACTGTATTGTTCAATAAGATTACGTATTTGAGATGCAAGTTGCATTGTGATTTGGGCATCTTGTTCTCACCCTCGTATTTCCGCAGATCTTTCCCCAGGGAAACGATGGTGACGCACAAGAGGCACGTGTGGTTCAAGGTTCCGGACAGGCCAGTCCAGTTTGCTCCTATGACGGATGGGGTCGACAGCATCGGCGATCTCCGACAGAGAGTAGTATTCGAGTTCTTCACCCGCAAGGTTCAAGATCAAGTGAAGTTTTATGCGTCTCCTGCGGCTCAACACGCAAAGCAGCCGCTCGACCTCGACACGAAGGTGGACGGACTTGGGGTAGACTTGCTGCACCCGGTTCTCGTGGAAGCGCCGCTTATGTTTCCTCGGATCCGCGTTGTCATGCATGGGGTGAGACTTGAGGCGCCGCGCCTTGAACGCAAAAAACTGCTAGACCAAGTGGCCACGAGTCTGCTGGCCGACCAAAAGCGCTACGTGCTCCTTGCGGCGCCAGAAGGGTCTGGGAAGACGTCGATAGTCATGCTATTTGAACACCACCACGCTGATCTGAACTGTGTCTTCGTCTCGTTCATTTGGGAAAGGGGGCCGGTGAATGAAGTGATGCAGCAGCACGGACTTGATATCTGCGGGAGGAAGTCGGCCCTCTCGGAAGACCAACAGCATGTGATCCTGATCGACGACGCTCAGGAAAAGTACGAGGACAGGGCGTTCTGGAAGGCTCTGATCACGGATTCTTCGTCGTAGTTACCAAGCAACATCCGCTTTGTCATCGCTGCCAACCACGCACTGCATGGTGAGAGCCCCATAGAGTTTCGGTCGATTAAGACGTTCTGGAGGCCGGATTTTCTGTTGAGTGACGAGGAATCCTACGGGTTCTTGGCGCTGTCAGTGGTTGGATTGCCCGAGAAAATGAAGGATGAGACAAGGCGATGCTCGCGCAGCTCATGGTTCGTGAGTGTGGAGGGCTGATCGGTGCTTTGCGAGTTGGTTTCAATATCCTCGAACAAGAGTTCCTTTTAAGCCCTACTCCGTCTGAACTCGAGTTGATACTAACCTGAGCAAGGTGTAGCTGTCAATGCTGTAATAAACTGATAGATGTTCGCGATGAGCTAGTTTGGAGACGGCATTAGAGCCGGCGCAAGTAGGCGTTCAATGCTCGTCACGAAAAAGATAAAAAGTCGTTCAGTTCATCTTATTTAGCAGTTTACATGTAGAGCTTTGTCTAAGACATTAATGCTGATGGAGTACATGTAGCGAGATCGGATGACGGCCACAATTCATTGCTTTTTCCAGGTACATCGTATCGTTGTGAAGCAAAACCAATAGGGATGGAATGAGCTCGAGCTCCAAAGCAGAGTTCGGGCGACGCTAAATCAGGGTGCCTGGATGTATGCTCAAGCTCACATCGATAAGCTTTTGGGTAAGAAGCAGCCCCTCGAGTACATTAGCCGTGGGTGTTTAACCGCTTCCGCTATCCGTTTGCCCTGCACTTGCAGCAGCAGCAGCTTAAAATGGTTTTGAACGAAGTGTCTGGGCCGCACAAGTAAGTTCTAGGCCGTGCAAGACGCTGCAAAAACACATTTAGGGATCCCACTTGCTGGCTTGCGATGGGTCAGAATGCTGGTAACATCTATTAAGCTTAGTCCGTGTAACTAGTCATCATGTGGTCAGTGGTCAAAACTTCGCAAAAGGAGTGGCGTTTGCTGGTCTTACCGGTAGTTAGTCCACTCCCGTTACATGTACATGTACTGTGTACATGTACTAAGCTTTACAACATTCGAAGCGCAACCCATCATACAATATGCAGATAATGGGTTAGCACGCACGAGATAGTGACAAGCACCACCCAGCAGTAAAGTTTGCTTCTATCATAAGCACTTCGTTTAACCGTGCAATCTTGGAAAAATACTTAAAGAGTAATAGCAACGTAGTTTTAGTGATAACCTTGGATTGTAGTACGAATCTAGCAAACAATCCCTGAACCGAGTTAACAACAATTTGTAGCTTTTAGTCATAGTTGCTAAGAGTTAAACCGGTAGCAAACAACCCCTGGGTTGCAGAGTCATACATGTACTAATTCGTAGCTTTATTAAGTAGTTACTTAAGTTAATGAATACCCGCTTTTGGAAATAAAAGTACCCTGTTTCAGTAAGTTAGTAAAGCTCCGTCCAAGCACAGCTCTTCGACCTGTGAATAAGCGGTGCCAATATAGGAGGAAGAGCGCTGACAGAAATGCTCCAATTCGTATTGTAACATGACTACACGTAGAATAAGCACAAAAAATATTCTTTGCTCGACGAAAAGATCGTTTCATGCTCAAACGCTATCGATAGTTCTCAACGAATTAGGGGTTCGGGCGGTGGAGCCACTCGAATTGAAGAGTAAAGTCGGCGCCTACAGAACAAAAACAAATGTTAAACACTCGAGCAGGAAAATCCTCAAGTTGTCTGTCATGGTAGGATACCGACCGAGATGTGCCAGCTCGTATTGCAAAACATTGAGAATCAAAGCAAACAGGATTGCTTGAACTGGATAAAACTCCGTTTCCAGCACAAACGCCAGTTGGTACAATGGAGAGAACGCGAACTTGTGCCGCAGGAACGTGTTGAACGAAATCAAAAGCCCAACTTCCAGTACCGCAAATAGCAAAATATTCGCAATCGATACCATGCCCCAAGTGCCAGCTCCACCAGGGTAGTACACGACGTTCGGCAGCAGCTCCAATACGGACTTGTAGATGAAGAACACAATGGGGGTTATCGACTCGACGTACTGGACTAGAGCCACATACTCGGAATGGAACAGGAGCTTCACACCTTGAAGCACGATTTTCTTCGACCTCTCGTTGTGTCGCATTGCAGATTGTCTATTATCTGCGTCTGATTGCGAGTCTGTCGTTGTGTAATCACCCGCGACTCCGATCAATGGAGTAATTGACGCACTTCGTATGCGTCGGTATTCGTGATGCTCTTGGCTCTTCATTCTTATAGTTGGATCATAGTTGCTACTAAATACATTGAAAGCAGCAAGCGCATGAAGGTGTTCCAGTTTGTCTGTCGAGAGCGGATACGCTAAGCACGCCCACAGTCGAACTCTCTCCAGGGATTTTGAGGGAAGCGAAGTAGAGTTCTGTACAGCGTCGAGGATAATCATCAATAAATTGGTAGCGTCCGACGTGCCGGGTTTCTTTCGGATAAGTGTTTGAGAGTTTCGTCGCTCGTCCAGTAGCTTCAAGAGTGCTTTCCCATTAGCTCTCATGGCTCGGAATTCGACTAGCGACTGGAGGATGTTCACCGCGATAAAGAGCAGCGTTAAGGACACGGATCTTGTCGCCGACATGCACGCCGATATGAACAACGTACTCATGAAATCCACAGACAAGGCCACTAGCAGCGGCATGACGTCTTCCAGGTTGCGTGTACTGCTCACAGTGAAGCGCTTGGCTGCGAACTTCCATATCGGCAAAATGACAACTGCAACACCTCGAAAACCGACGGGAATGTGTTCAAACAGCAGCTTGTAGACTGGGAACGTGCCGCAAAGAGTCAAGAATGACAGGAAGAATCGGTTGTATCGGTCGGCATGTGGCCTTAATGGCGAATCCTTGGCAAAGAGGACGGAACCCAAGACTAGAAAAATCATCAGCGGCGTAAATATCCCAATGGGAATCGGCGCAAATTGCATCATGAGCGGCACTGGGAACCCAACCGCGCTGGCAGCGATAAGGCACGTCCCCACGAATAAGGTGCTGGCCCCCGCAGCTATCGCCATTCTTTTACGGATCGTAATGTTGAGGCCGGGGATAAATCGGATCAATTGAGAGTTCACGATGAAGCCCAGAGTCAGTTGAACCGAGAGCAAACGCAGCCAAAAGACATAATTGGCCCTCCACCCGTCCGAAGGCGGCCGCAACGGCAAGCATTCCACCAACAGAGCTGTCAACAAGGCTGGAACTGGGGTGAGTAGGCAAACCAACACTGCTCGACGCCGTGAGGTAGTTTTGCAGTACAAGTTGAGGCTTTCCAGGTGCTCGATGGAGTACGCGCCCTGACTTTCAACTTGAATGCCGTTCCATTTCCTTGCGAGGCACTTCCAGATCACAATATGCGGTGGCTTTTGTTGCGAAATACTCTCCACCTGGGGAGACGCAGCGTTCACAGTTTGCGCCCACACTTCCAGCTCAGCCATCTTGCCCAGATTTTCAAGAAATGGCACACCCGTGCATCGCGACAGCTAAATAAAGTTTCCGGTAAGGGCCCCAAGAAAAACAAATTAGGTTTTGCTTCGCTACGAAACGAAGCAACCGTGATATTTTCCGTCGAACGAAGGGAGGCGGAAAATAAGTTTTGCGGCCAAGCGCAAGAAGGCACGTTGCCTGTTTCATGGAATCACACAAGCTGTGCGGTGGCCAAGGCAAGATCGCATGTCCAAGTTTAGGTAGGGCTGTCGCCAGTGGTGGTTTTCCCCGAGATGAAAACGGGTTTCAGCGAAGCCACAGGGCACAGCCGTAGATAGTATTGTTAGACGATTGCTCTTGAGGGTCTGGGCTCATTCGGCTTTTGGACTTGTCGGTCGCAGCCTCCTCGCCGCCCAACACATCCAACGCGTCCACGCTCGTTTGCTACCGCTAGATTTGCTCGGGGACCCCCTTCGGCAGCGGACGTCGTCATCCACCGTTCGCCACCCGCTCACTATTAGTATGGGGGTAGTTCACGGCTGCCGCACACTGAACGACGACAAAGCCGATCAAGTTCGCGTGAAGTCTGCTCAGATAAGTACCGCTTGTCGGTAGTTTGTGACTTATTGTTGGATGAGTGGCATGCAGTGTTGACAGAACCCGCACCGACTCCGAAGATCTCCCCCCTCAAGCAACGTTGGCTACAGCACAAGCCCACGAGACAATCTTTCGCCCGATGCGGGGTTGTTGGGCACTCGCTTCGACCGCGAGGCTGAGAGCAATGTTGGTTAGGTGATTGGCCCTGGACACGAGCTTCCGCATGACCATCGCTAGTCGACCACCAGCTTCAGAAGTGCAGAAACCACGTCAAGTTAGGGGGAGGCAAGTCGGTGGTCGGTGATTGTGGCGGTCGTGCTGTTGGTCATGCGTGTCAACACGATAGTCACGCCCAGCAGGGCAACACAGACGCCTCACTCACAACACATGCTCACGAATCTTGCTATGCCAGTATTGATGCTTGCAGGACGCAAAGACAACAGCTCATGATCATCTCGACTATTCTTGGGGGTAGCCTTACCTCGATTCTCGCTAAGGCTTGCCTTCAATTATCAAGAGCAATCGTCTTTGCCCCCAACGTGCTTCTGGAGTGCTGGCAAGGAAACTCAAAATTATTGCTGTGCAGTACACCAAAGACAACGGGTTGCGGTCTTAGATTGAATTCAAAATATGGGTTATTCCTCCTGATCTGGTCAGCCAAGACCAAGACGAAAGATACTTGTCCATCCTAATAATATATATATAAGAGAGAAAAATAAAAGAAGAAATATAACAATCCAACAACAAAACCTGGTATTACCTGAATACGAAATGCCCTCCGACCGGGCGATTCCGGTCGTTACTCTCGGATGCCTCAATAACAAGTTCAAGGGTTTTCTGGCCAAGTGTCTTGCCCTGGTACCAGCTGCGGTCCCGTTGAAGCGAAAACTTGCCAAGCACGACAGGAGATGTATCGTGGATCTGATGAAATCCGGAGTTAGTATCGTCCAAGAAATCGGGCAAATGGTGCAGTTTTCGTCGCCGGTCGCCGAGAGGTTTTATTTCTATCGGCTTGTACCAGAATGCGCAGGCTGGGATCCCAATTCGTTGCATGCTCTTGTCACGATGGTTCTGGGAAGCATGTCAGCGAAAGCGCTGCTTGCGAGCGCTCGTAAAACTGGTGGTATGCCGGACGAAGTTACTTTTCGGCAGGAGGTTATGAGAGGGATTGCTGTCAACACCTTCGAAACGTGCACCATTTGTCCCGAACTGCCACGCGTGTTCCCGTCGTCAACCCCCGATCGAAATGAGCGCGGGCGTACGGTTTTCTTCGTGGGGGCGATGGATAGATGGGGGCTGGAGGTGGTGGTAGATGGCCTGGACAGCCAAGACTATACGTCGGGATTCGCCACGGGCGGGCGTTATGCCGCGCTTGAAGCCGATGACTACGCGGTTCTCGATCTACGTGGCAATGCAAATGGAACCATCCCAGCTGCTGAAGGAGAAGGTGATCACGGTGTTCTTCAAGTTGGGAGACTTCTCCAGGTGCCAGTGCGTTCTTGGCATGAACGAGACGCGGCGTGATATTAATCTGGGCTGATTAGTGCTGTACCGTGATGGGAAGATGAAGGCGAGTGAGTAGCTTCGAAGTTTACGTTTATATCGCACAATTATTTTGCCAAAAAAATCTGACTGCATTCCGCTCCTCCTTTTAGATGGCTGTTGGTTGTTGCGCGAGAACTTGTCTCGTTCTTGTTGTTGAAGTGTCATCCTATGTGTAGGCAAAATCACCGAAGCAGATTCTGCATTGCCACGCTATTTATTCATTTGTGTTTGCCTACAGGACTAGTTGCAAGTGTGCTTTCAGGGAGGGACTCTCTACACAGGCCGTGAAGGATGAGAGCAGTCACCCGAAACTCGTTTTCTTTCGAGTCCTCCAGATCCTCCTTGAAAAAGCTGGAGACTGACCAAGATGCCAGTCTACTGTAGACGCGAATCAAACCGATACGAAGAAAGTATTGAGCAATCCTGGCGCGGAAGTGGGCGACGTTGTGGCTGCCGTGGTCGACGAAGCAGGCGAGAGGAAGATCGAGGGGTTCTTGGTGTTTCGCAAGCGTGTGCGTCGACGACGCTATTGCATTCTGCAGGAATAGCGGCGGATGACGCTAAGTTGCGCGCTGTGGGCACTCATCGACGTCATCGAAGAGCGCAGGTACAATTCTCGACTGCATCGGGGACCGCGCGGAATTGTAGCATTGGCTAGTGGCGAATATTGATAGCGTAGGTTCGTGCAAAGAGGTTGATCCAACACACCAAAAACAGTGGTCAAAATGGCTGCGTAGAAAGAGTTTGGTTGGTGTCGTTTACGCGCGAAGCGACACTTCAGCGACGTAGCCAGTATTGGTTGCAAGTTCGCCGCCGCTCTATACTTGTAGTTAAGAACTGGTGTGTGCTATTGCCCTTCAGTAATCCCCAGCACGAAATTGGTACGTATGCTTCATTCCCAGCTGAGAGTCAGAAGCAGGCTCAGAATTACTGATTTTCCTTCGCAAAATTATTGCCTTGCTAACGTTGGCAGCCTGTCAATGGCAGGTCTTCTCGGTATTTATCAAGTTGAGAGACTTCTCGAAAACATCCACCCTCCTCATTATCAAACTCATCCGAACAATGGGTGACGCTGCATCCATGCCCCCCCCCCCCCAAAAAAAAAAAAACTCTGATATTTCGAGAAATCTCCAACCCGTTACCAACTTCTTCACGGAAAGACCATCAGCAAAAATTCTGCTACGACGATGTTGTCATTTGTATTTGCTTGAGGTATACAGAGCATGTGGGGAAATCGACACGAAGAACCAAAAACTCAATCAGCCAAAGAGCTGAGCCCGTCACCGTATAACTTCTTAACTACGCGGGCGAGCGCAGCATAAATAGCTGGGCCATTAACCTTTAGCCGGATATTTGGAAGACGATAAGACATGTTTTTCAGTACGTCGGCTTCATCTAGATGCACTACTTGCGTCGAACACACAAATATCAAAAGTGCTACAGGAAGATACGAAGGCGTCAGGATGGATTGATGTTCAAAGGCACATGTTTCACGTCCACTTCGGCCACTGGATGTACTGTACTGGTAGTCTGTGCTGGTAGCCTCCGAGTGTCGGCACCTGTAAAAGTCGGAAAGACTAGTTCGCCAACGTGATAGTATATTCACGTGCAGGCTTGTCGACCATGAAACCCCCTTCACGCACACGCCTCAGACCAACCAAGCAACGGCACGTAGAGAAATCCCCCAGCTTGAAAAACACCGTGATGCGCTTTTTATTGAGCTCGATCGCCGTCGGAATCCCAGTCTCGTTTCCACGAAAATCAATTACGGCGTAATCCGTCATTACAAGTGGAGCATATTTTCCGTTACGACGGAAGCGCGCGAGGTGTTCTGTGATTTCGCGGCCTTTGACGAGCAGTTCAATTCCCCATCTGTGGCTGGTAGCCTCACGACGAGGTATGTGGAAAAAGAAACCGATTTCACCATCGATGTAGCCACGAGTAGGCTGGCCCGGCGACGGGAAAATTCTCGACAACTCGGGACAGATCGCGGTTGTATATTCTGTGTTGAGAGCGAGGCCCTCCATCACCATGTGCTGGAACGTTGCTTCTTTTGGGAAAGTGTCAGCTCCAACAACACTGTCTCGCAACACAGACGCAGACATGCTTTCGACAACCTTGACGACGAGGTCGACCAGCGAGCCTGGACTGGATCCAGCACGATTTGAGAACAGCTTCCTGGTGTAATACACCAACGGAGAAGAGAATCGCACAACTTTGTCATGTTCTTGGACAAGAACTCCATACTTTTTTAGTTCCTCGATACATTCGATGTTCTGCTGGGCAACCAGCGACACAGGATTTGGAGACATGGCGAGACACTTAGCCAGAAATTCCCGCTTCTGTACGCTGATATGGGGTGCATCGCTACCTCCAAAACGCTGCGTCACTTGCTCAAGAAATTCCGTGGACAAATGGTACTCCATAAGCTCGACTTCAGAGGGGCGTCTGGTCTTGGCAAAATAGCTTACCATAGCATCAACAGACTCTTTCAGTGCACCGACGAGACCATCGCACTCGCGGACCACCACATCAACGAAATCGCTTCGGTTGACCCTCATTTTCATAGGCAATCCATGAGTTGGCGACTCCAAAAACGCTCGTGCTTCTTCGTCACTCAGCATGAAATTGCTTGGGCCAAATATATGGACCGATCCAAGTCGTACCAAACTCTCCATTGCGTACGTTGCCGAGATAATAAAGCGGGCGTTGTCTGGCAACCACGAAATGGTGGTGCAGGCAAACAAATCCCAGAAGGCTTTGTCGTCGTACTGAGCTTGGGCATCATCGATCATGATAACATGGGTTTCCTCAACACTGAGACGTGATACCCTCTGAACGAAGTCGATCCCACACGTCAACAGCAGCTCGGTCGCTGGCGAATCGTGAAGAAACGATACGTAGATGCAATTGACACCAGGGTATCGGCGAGCAAATGATCTTAGTAACGTCGTCTTCCCCGAAACTCTTGGAGATGCCAAGAGAGTAATGGGGGTTTTCCGGAACGAATCGTAGACTCCCTCCAGCAACTGCTCGCGCTTCAGCATGTGACGCAGTTCGCGCGCCAAACCAGTAGAATCCCCCGGGAAGCCTGTAGGTGCTATCCTCACGACGAGCGGGTAATGCTCGCTCATCCCATAGCCGTTGACCTTCACCAGATAGTCAAGAGGTTGGTCTTCCCTGACGTCAGCCTCCGGAGACGCGTAGATTTTTACTTGGCTTGGACGGACATCTCCCAGGATTGTGGACATGCGGCAAGCAACGTTTCTCGAAAGTCACCAATATTAGCAACTTCATTGTTCAGAGAAACGGACATGTCTGCAAACCTGTACCACACATCCCGCTCCATGACTGCGCCTCTTGGATTGCCGAATGTCAAATGAGGTAGTACTGGCTAGATACGTCATCCCACTGTTTGCGCCACATCGTTAATGTGTCACTACAACATCATAGTTAAAAAAAATGATACAGTGCGTAAGATATATCGGAGAAACGCTACAATATACAATATTGACAGCTTGAACAACAACTCACGGGGCAAAAATCGCTTACAAAAGCACCTACTGTTAGGTACTTATTTTATTAATAACGGGACCCGGGCCATGAGGCCCGGAGATTCGCAGTTCTCATTGATAAATTATTAGGAGCTAGAGAGGATTTAAAATATAATGTACCGGGTAGTCAGAAACTATGGCACCGCTTCTGTAAGACAATCGTAATAAGAAGATGGACAATAGAGTGGAGCGCATGAATAAGGTTATGCGAGGCAGGTTATGGAAACCTCTCCAGGCAAGCCCTGAAACAGGCACTATTGATATGGGCCAGTTGAACACGACCTACCTGTCGGCGGAACTTAAGGGAGCTTCGAAGACCCCTCGCAACGACGTTTATGGATGGGTCAGTTTGTTATTTGATTCAAATCAAACTGATTAAAGGCAGTTTGAAATGGCCTACCTAAGTAAAGGGCTTTCTAACCATTAGAAATTGGCATAAGTTACTAGTAACGTTGATGAGCCTCCCGAAAAAAAATATGGAGACACTTAGGATGCTGGTGGGTGACAGCCGGCTTGTTCATTGTTATCGGCCGAAGAGGACCGCCCAAAGACGCCGCGGCACTGTTAGTTGCGCCATTGTGATCTAAGGGTAAGCGAGAGCGTGTACTTTGCTCTGTAACATTGTACTAGTGGTATATTGATTCTACGTTGTGATGTTGATTACCAGACCTGGTGATCCGACCCAGACGACGCTATGAGCTCTCGCGTGTGGCCCGATTGGCAGATCGATTGCGGAGTCAGCGTACAATCTCATCGGTTCCTACGAAGCCGGCTACAGCCGAGTCTACCGCTATATTGTAGCTGATGCAGTGGCTACTCAAGAGGCTACAGAAGAAGCGCTCCTCATGGTGTGGCTACACCGGAGACTACAGAAGAAGCGGTAGATGCTACGGCGGATACTACAGAAGAAGCTCTCCGCGTGATGAGGTTACACCAAAGATTACAGAAGAAGGGACAGAGGCTACGACGGAGGCTACCGATAAAAGCGGCAGGAATGAAGCGGCAGTGCCAGAGGCTACAGAGCAAAGCGGAGGCTGCCAAAATGGCGAAGATGACCCACGGCTGGCGCGAACATTGAAGAGCGTGCGCATGTAGAGGAAGAAGTAGACGTTGGCATGAATATCATATATTGTCCTGTTTCGTACAAGAGGAACTGTGTGTAGTGCGTGTCATTACGGGCTATTGAGCATGCAAGCTCCCTGGTGTTGTCAGAGAGAAAATCGTAACAAGCTTGTTAGGTGGGCTAAAGAAATCTAATGATGCGCTAATGTCAAGCACAAGGAAGAATTCGCCCAGTTCCACCTCACTACGTCAGTTAGGACGGGAAGATTTCTTCCTCCGCGTTTATCGCGACGTGCCGAAGATGGGTGGCTGGAGCCGAAGTATGCTGCCTTAGCAGCCTTGCAAGGTATTACCATGTAGCAGGTTTTGAGCGTGCTTTACGCTCGCCACGACCAATAGAAGCTCGCCATTTCGGCATATGGTGGATACATTGAGCATGTTTTGTTCACTTTCGTAGCTGTTCTGTGCACAATGTACCCAGCGCTTGACCGCAAGATGCGAAAGGGCTTCCAACAGCAAATCTTTGACAGGTTTTGAAGTATACTTTAATCAAGTCTAATGCTTATTCTGTAGATACAGAATAAGGTCTGGGGCTAGAAGGGTTAAGAGCATGCACGCTATCTGGAGAAGTTTTCGTCATGAAGAATGGCACAGGAATTCCGCCGCCGCCGCAAAAAAACGTATCTAACGATATAAAGCGTATCTAACGGTAAAAAAAATCGTATCTGAATATTTTATACTGGGATAAGAAGCGACGAAGTGCTGATAGCCCAGCCCAAACAGGATTAATTCGGGTCCGCCATGTCTTAGGTCAATTTACAGTAAGTGATGTCGATTGACCAAGTGTTTTAGACTTCTCAAGATGGATGGAGGCTGGTCCAGTTCATTTTCAAATTTGTCGAGTCAAGATTCGTTAGTTGTACGTAGCAGCTTTAGCGCTGCGAGTGAGTGGCAAAGAGACAGGAAGACACTTGTCGATTGTAGAGTAAAACTCAGAGTGATTCATTCAACACATGCCTACAACGCATGACTCCTATACGTGCCGTACACGAGGAGGAAAACATGAGCCTAAAAACCCCTTTGACCATACAACCCATCAATCAGGCTTGTAAGCCGACTCCTAGCATCCAGCTAGCACACGGCCAGGACATGAGTGACTACGCGAGAGTAGAGTACGACCGCGTCCGATCTCTAACTCTCATTCTCCCCCGGAACTCATATCCTGGCCTCCAACTCGATTATGCCGAGCTGGCAGGCATGCATGTGCAACCGCCTCAACTACGTCCTCGACTCCAAGCAGCTCCCTCAGCCTTTCAAATCGCTGTGGTCCGAGCTCCTTGGTAAACATGTCTACCATGTTGTCTGCCGTAGGAACTAGTTCAGCGACAATTCTTTTAGCCTCGACAAGCTCAGCAATTTTGAGACTCATCTTTGCTAGCCGCTTCACACCGTCATAGTTTCCGACGTGCTCACACACTTTTAGCGTGCTCTGATTATCACAATGCAGCTCCGGGACCATTGGCTTCATGCCTATCTCCGTGAACAGATTCTGCGCCCACAGTAGGTCCTCGACGCTCTTATTGGCCGCAACCAGTTCCGACTTACACGTATCATCCGTGATACGATCCTGCTTCTTGCTCTAGAAGCCGAAGCTGTAGCCATTCAGTTGGAGCACATATCCCGTAACTGATCTCCCTGTGTCGATTTCCGCTGCTTGTTGCTTGAGGTGCTTGTTGATTGCAAGTTAAAATGCAAAGTGAGAGACTGCATGAAGCAGAAGCTCTTTGCTCTACAACCTAGCTCTACAGAGGCTGCATCTAATGGTTGGCTCTAACCAACAAAACTACCAGAGTAAACTTCGAGTAATCGCTGCAGGCAACAAGAGCCAGAGTAATCCTGAATAATCACCACACTGCCCCCCTAAGGATACGCTGGAGCTTCAACTTGGCCACTGACTCAGTGTCCGGCTGCAGGTCACTGGCCGAGAGCTGCGAACGCCGCTTGAAATGCTTCGTCTTCGCAGGTCTGGACGTAGGCAGCAACGGGCACATGAACTTGAGCTGCCAAGCTCTCAAGGGACTCCCATGACACGAGTAGCTGCCAAATACCATCGATGTGACGGTGTTGTTTGATTGTTTCAATACCGAGAACCATGCTGTGGAGTAGCGCCCTCGCAGAAATCTCGCGAATGCGATCTCGCACAAACTCGGCGCGTCTGGATAGCGGTCGCGCCGAGCGACATATTCCCGGTTGTTGGAGTAGGGTATCTTCGAAATACAGGCCCAAGTCTTCGCAGGCTTCAGAGTTGGGGGGGGGGGGGGTTCTTGTGTTGACGCTTGTTTCTTGTCGTAGGGCGTCGAGCCTTGGGCGTGCGGCGTTATCGGGCCGGCGTTCCCGTCGTGCGGCGTTATCAGGCCGGCGTTTCCTGGGGCTTGTGTGGCGTTATCGTGCCTACACGGGGGGTATTGTGCACGGCGGTTATCAGGCCAGTGCGGTCCTTCGCCTAGGCAGCGCGTTATCGGGCGCCCACCTAAACGGTATACGTTTAACGTGCCTTTGTTCCAGCACGGGTCTGTGGGGGGAGGGGGGGGGGGTGAGCACCCGAACCAACAAACGACGGGGGGCCGCGATATCGAGGCGGCTCTACTTGCCGGCGCTTGGTGGTTCCCCTGGACCTCGAAGAAGACGGGAGGTCTTTGTGGTTCAGAGAAATTTCGGGACTGAATCCTTACCCTATCCTATGTCCTTGCTACCGGCTACTCTGTACTACTGCTTGCTAAGCCTACCGCTCTGTACCTATCATTACTTCTGTCGTGCTTGCACTACCGTCCTTCAACCTGATTTGCGTGGCATAATCAAGATCTTACCTCGGCGCGTTTTGGTCGGCGGGGTTTAGGGTCGGCGCGTTTTGGTCGGCGGGGTTTAGGGTCGGCGCGTTTTGCAGAACCGGGCGCACTGTTCGACCCGTCGGATGATTACGCGTCGCACTGGATTCCGGCACCGTGTCTCACAGCCCATCACCCACGCCGACTTTCCGTCGAGCTCGGCCCTGCGTCGCGCCCATTAATCCGCGTCGAGGTCCACCACTCGCGTCCCGGCGCCTTCTTCCTCCGGCGCCCGGCGCGCCCACTTCTTCCGCGGGGTACTACACCACAATGCCTTGATTGTCAACATGAGCGAGCAGTTCTTCATCCACATCGAGGCTAGCATCCGCGTAGAACTTCAGACGCGAGCCGTGGACCGTGTAATGCTGGTTCGTGACAAGGTGTCGTATGTCGAACAAGTGGGGTGCGGTGTTGACCACCTCGAACGGACCGACCCATCGGGCGAGAAGCCTGTCCACAGACAAGCGAGAGTCGATTCGCGACCAAAGGACGAAATCTCCTACGCTGAAGTTGCACTCAACGCCCTTGGAGCGCGCCATGTTCTGC